AATTCATTTGACAGTTAGTTCTGCTTGTTTACATTTTTAAACTTTGTAGGTTTGTTCTTTGTTACCATGGATACCATCAATCAATATTTACTTTTAAATCTCTCACCTCAAATTTTTGAAAGCCCACAGGGCGGAGCCCTAGGACAATATCGAAGCGGGAATAGTTCTATATGTATCCTCGGAGCTGTAGCTTCATTTGTGTGCAATTTGAGCCCAGTCGGTTCAGTAGTTTTTGAGATTACCTCATACAAACACACACACACACAGACACCACCTCTTCTTTATAATAGTATAGATTGTGATGATGTAATTTCCATTTGAAAGACTGTATAATTCTTTTATTATGACATTAAATTGAATTGTCATTTAGTGGGTTTATTTATGTTAAACGGGAATGTGAGCTATCATCTTACCAAACTTCTACCCTGGCGGTTTAGTATTTTTCGCATTTACTTGTCACAAACATCCATCCATCCATCCATTCATACATCCAAACTTTCTCACTTATAATATTAGTAGGATAAGATATAGTGAGCATGTGATCAGAGTATTTAAAAATCAAAGGTCATTTAAAAATTACATTTTTTATCTAGGTTGACTTGTTATCGAGGTACCAGTGTGTTTGTGTTTTGTGCTATTAATTTATCTGAAGAAACAAACAAATGATACGTCTAATAACGCTAGTAATTACTAGTGTTATGTGATGTATAATTTGTTTGTTTTTTCAAGTAATTTAATAACACATACGATGCTGATCAAGAAGTTATTCAATAATTTATCCATAATAACACATAAGCATTGGATTAATCAGTTGAGATAATCTAGTAAAAGCTACGATTTCACTTTCAGATCATCAAGTGCCAACAGCTGTCTTCCTGCCGATGACACTGGAGCTTTGTACCTCAAACAGCTGAGACAAGCATTAGACAAAGCCGAGTGCAACCTAGTCCAGGGAACCAAGTACCAAGACTACCATGTCAGAGATGGAGAAACCTTCGACTTTGTTGTGGTCGGAGGAGGGTCTGCAGGGTCTGTGCTGGCTGGCAGACTTTCAGAGAATCCTGATTGGACGGTGTTGCTGCTGGAGGCAGGAGGAGACCCGACAGTCGCTAGTGAGGTGCCAGGGATGTTTGGTGCCACTCTCAACTCTAACATAGACTGGCAATACCACACAGAGCCTGAGGCCAACAACTGTTTAGGTAGTGTCAACTCCAGCTGTCTGTGGCCGAGAGGTAGAGTCCTCGGAGGCTCGAGCGCCATCAACGCCATGTTGTACGTCAGAGGAAACCCGAGGGACTTTGACAGTTGGGAGGAAACCGGTAACCCTGGATGGAGCTACAAACACTTGCTGCCTTATTTCAAAAAATCTGAACACATAAGATCTAAGGAGGTTTCCGAGAACGTAGACAATTTGAAATATCACGGTAACAAAGGTCCTTTGAAAATAGAGTCGTTTGAAAACGACGGTAAATTTCTCATTGATGCTATCTCAGCAGGTTTTGAAGATATGGGATATCAGTCGTTTAACGATGTAAATGCTCAACACCACGAGGGATTTTTCATGCTTCAAGGAACTTTGGACAATGCGAGAAGATGTAGCACTGCTAAGGCTTTCTTACATCAGGTTCAATCAAGACCGAATCTTATGATTTCAAAACATTCTTTGGTGCAGAGAATTTTGATTGAGAATCAAACTGCTTACGGTGTTGAATTCACGAAGGGAGGGAATATATTTATGGTTAAAGCTAAGAAGGAAATAGTGTTATCTGCTGGAAGTGTTAATACACCACAGATACTCATGCTTTCTGGCATCGGACCAAAATATCACTTGGAGAAAAATAATATTGAAGTACTGAAAGACTTAAATGTAGGCTTGAATTTACAAGATCACATATTAATGAGGGGATTTATAATAAGTCTCAATGTTTCCTTGCCGTTGAATAATCCTTTGGACAGCATTTATGATTTTTTAATCAATTCAAAAGGAAACTTAGCAGGAGTTAACATTTTCAACTCCGCAGGATTCATAACCACCAGCAAAGCAGATTATCCAAATATTCAGTTCTTTTTCACATCGTTCCCAGCCAATTCCACCGGTGTTTTAAAACAGGCGTTGACTACCATGGGATTCAACAAAGGTATACAGAAATCGATACTAGAGATTAACTCTAACAAGTTCACACTCTTTGTAATGCCAGCATTGTTACGTCCTAAAAGTAGAGGGCGAATATTACTTCGGAATAAAAATCCCTTTGAGCCCCCACTTATATACCCTGGCTACTTTTCTGAAGAGAAAGACATCGCTGAAACTCTTGAGGCAATAGATTTTTCCAATAAATTTGCCAAAACGGAAGCGATGAAAAAGCTTGGCGCAAGAGTGGAGTATGTCAAGATTCCCGGATGTGAATCGTTTGTGTTTCAATCTGAGTCGTACTGGCGTTGTGTGATCAAACATATGTCTGTCACAGTGTATCATCCTGTAGGGACCTGCGAGATGGGGTCAGTAGTTGACTCCAGGCTGTGTGTGAAGGGCGTCGGGAGACTACGAGTGATCGACGCCTCCATCATGCCAACCATCACTAGTGGCAACACAAATGCACCAACCATTGCTATTGCGGAGAAGGGAGCTGACCTTATCCGACAATTCTGGAAGTAGTGACTTTTGTAAGATTTGATGTTGAGTATTTCTGTATGAATTAGTTTTAGCTCATTAAAAGAACTGATGGTGACAGAAACAGGAAATAAATTAATGGAAAAGTTCCTTGATAATTCGACTTTAAAGACCAGGATCCATTTTATAGCTTACATTGTAATCATAGCAATATAATATGACCTCTTTGCTTTAGACAACCATTGAATTTTGGATACTGAAGTCATCCACATAGACCTAAAGTGTCTAAAACTATTTTCTACCAAATGTTTAGTTACTGAGATAGTTGACATGACATAAAACATGCTATAGCTTAAAATAGAAGTCCTATCAGTTTGATTTGGCTGAAAAGTCCGCATTTTAGAAATAAACTAGTGCACATGTTGCTCGAATTCGAGCAATTGCAAAGTATTACAGGAGTTATTTCAAAACGAATAACAGTAACATTTACAATGAGTTTAAAAGAGTCAAAACTCAAAAGATTACCGGTGTGTAACTCAGACCATGACCATGTTTACCTTCGTTATTGATAAACCTAAAGCATTCCGGCCAGTTTTCTCCTTCTCAAAATGCCTCGCTGTACAGTCAACACAGGTCATTGATAGAGGGCCAATTGAGAACAAAAAGTCGTTTTGGGGTAGGGCGCATTTGTAACGTAATAGTTGAGATTGTCCAGGGTCAGGTGCTGACTGTGATGAGTTAAGCCTATTACCCGGCACTGTTCTGTAACTGCGGTCGTTATCACGATTACGCCTCCTGACTATGTTTCGTTGTCGTCGCGTTGGAGTCATTTAAAAGAAAAAGCAACAAATAAACAAATTATAGCTACACAAAACAACGATAAATGCACAAATGTAAGATACAACCATACTAACACGATTGTGATTGTCCATCTTGGGGGTTTAGTTTACACAAACTCAAATCTATCTATCTATACTATTATAAAAAAGAGGTGGTTGCTGTATGTGTGTATGGGAAAAGTAAACTCGAAAAATACTGGTCGGATTGGGCTGAAATTTGGCATGATGATAGCTCACATTCCCGATTAACATATAGGCATATTCTTATTTCAAAAATCCTTTCGGGCTCCGCCCCAGTGGCTCTGGAGTTTCCCATGTTAACCTTATGAGAAATGGAATTATTGAATCTTAACAGCTGTTTCAATTAAACAAGTTGGTTCTGTTCTATGATGTTCAATAGCATTAAAGTTACAAGGATTACCAACAGGGTGCAGCACTATTATTTCTTTTACATTTATGACAACAGCTAATTTGCAACCAAAAGGTGAGTGAGCGTAGCGAACGAACTTCAACCTGGATGCGAGTTAGCGTAGCGAACGAGCTAACCTGAAGGCAAGTGAGCGCAGCGAACGAGCTCCAACCTAAAGGTGAGTGAGCGTAGCGAACAAACTTCAACCAGGACGTGATTGAGCCATGCGAACGAGATAATCTTGAAAATTAAGAAGTTAAACGGGGCAAAGCCCGCGGGTTACAGCTAGTAGTAAATAAATGTACTCAATGCTTTTCATTGAATTAAAAAATAAATACAGCAATTAAATTATACAGCTGATCAAAATGTAAACAATTATGTTCTTCATAAGGATAACATGGGAACTTTTAAAGCCACTGCTGGGGCAGAGCCCAAGGGGCATTTTCAAAAATGTAAGGCCAGTTTGCAAATCTACGCGACACGCTCTTTCCAATGAGACGTCAATGGATAAAATCGGTTAAGAAATGGCGGAGGAGTTCAACCGACAAAGTTTCATGTAGCGTATTAATTATATATAGATCAGTCCTTTACATTGACGCAACCTTTTGGCGGCTTGCTTTAACCAAGCCAATTTTGATTTGAAAACTGGTGACAACATATAACATAAACATGGGGATGGCCGATGGAAGGTTCAGTTGTATCAATAATCAAAGGTACAACATACAGATAGAGTGTTTAAAATGTGTTTATTATAGGCTATTAAATTTGTTTTAAACACAAACAACTCTTTTAAAGTTTCTATTTTTGACAAGAAATGTGTGTCAAGTACAACAATGCTTAAGCTAATAAGCTCTAACATGAAGATAAGTGAGGTACTGTGTTAATTCTTTTAACTTTGTGTGATGAAAAAAATGTTAAACCATCAAGCTTTGTAGCTGGAAATTCTTTGGTCATCTTGTTACAAAATGATTTTAAATAAATGCCAGATATATCTTGTTATTTAGTAAATCTACTATTTGTTTCTAGTTTGGTTTAACAATTAGTTGATAAGAGATTTTCTGTTAATTTATTTTAACTGTTTTATGTTAGTAATTGGCTCACATGTTTTTGAATCGTGCGGTAAAATTTCATCAAATTACTCGTATAAATTAAGCAATTCTTTGTAGAGAGTAATGGTTCCAATTTATTGATAGTTAATTTCAAACATCACCACATGCAGTCATTTGTTTGCATTAAGTCTGCCAGTTACTAGCTTCATGGAGTTTATGATGTTGGTTGTAAATAACATACTTTTGTTTGTTATTTTGTTATTGGTAAGTTTCTATTGCTTCATATACAGTAGTAATACTGTCAAACCATACAACTAAATGTAGTCGTAAGATACAAGATCGTTAAGAGTGCAATTTTTACCAAATACCACAAAACTTTCATGTAACTTCAGACCTGTATTTTACACTTTTTGTGCAACTACAAACAATGATGCATACTACAGTAAAATAAATGTTCGGCCATAAGAAATTTTAGATGCATACCAATTAACCACAAAAATTTCATCATCTGGAAGAAGTTGTATCAATATGAGAAAACTATTTTGATTAATGATTTTTTTTTAACTTTGAGTCTTTTAATCAAGCCCGCCTTGAGGGGGGGGGGGCAGAGGGGGCATTGCCCAGGGGCCCCGGCAAGGCCTGGTCTAAAATGTATGTAGTTTATAACGTTATAATATAATAGAGAATATTGCTGAACATACTTTTTCAAAAATGTCACAATCCATGTTGAATTTTAAATTAAATATTTTTAACCTCTTCTTAAGATTTATTGATGATAATTGTTACATAATTTGTAAGGCTTATTGCGTAAGCTGTGCACTTGGGTTGGGGGGGAGTGGGCCCGCGGCACCGATTGCCCAGGGGCCGAGATTTCTCTCTGCAGGCCTGCTTTTAATCATAGAAATTTATTTATTAAAGAATTTATTTATAAGAATCAAAAGTTATAGCATTATTTGTTATTTTGGCATCCGTCCAACAAAATCTTATCGTATTTGCTAACATTTATGAACATATTCAATTAGTTTCAAACTTATGTTTTCAGGTGTTCTGTAAAGTTAATGGATCTGAAAGTAAGTCAAAGATTTTATTGTCATTAGCAAACATGTAAATTTAATTACAGTAATAATTTTGTTTTAAATATTCAATTTTAATTGTTATTTGTATGGATCAAAATTGTATTTGTACCATGAATGGATAAAAGAGTTGACACAGGGTACTATTTTAATTTGTTAAACACCAACCAATTATTTATATTTTATTTAAGTACCTCAATCAGGCTGCAATCAATTATCAATGCAAGTAGCCCATTTAAAACTAATTTTCATAATCCATTTCTTCACTGATTACAATATGACTTCAAACTGTAATCAATTAAGTTAGTCTGCAACAAAACCTTTAAGTGTACTTTCTAGAATTAAAGGCTTGGGCAGCGGAGCCTTAAAGAAAATAACTTCTTTCACTCTTTAGGTCTCGAGCTTTGAAAGAAAACCTCAATCGCTGAAATTGGAGTAGTAGGAGTAGGATAGGCAAAAATGAGATGTTGCAGAGAAAACCTGTATAGTATTAAGTATATTATAGATTGTCGAGAAAACATGATACTTGTAACTTGAATATTTGTTAATGTAGACATTTTAAACATCCTAGTCCGGAAAGCTTGATTTTGAATTTACCTACATAAAACTGTATTTTGGCTAAATTTTGCTTGACAGTGAAACTAACATAAAATACCCCCGCCGCAGCAAACCTGCCGTATAAGCGAATTTCCATTTGCCTGAATTGATTTTCAATAAATCTATTTTTATAACATTAGGTTTAACGAGTACTTAGGTTTGCTGCTACAAGGAAACTAAAAAAGTGTGTTTTTAAGTAAAATAATTATAGCTTGGTATAAAATCAATAAGATTGCCAAGTTTCATCAAAATATATCCATAAACTAGCAAACTACAACATTTTACAATATTCTCCGTAAGAATAACATGGGAATTTAAAATTAAAATTTTGTTGAGTTTTCTCCGGAACCAATACTCGTACAAAAACACTATGATATACTTAATTATTTGTTTTTTTAAGCTCTTTAAGAGGGTCTATAGAGAAATTGGGAAATTTTTTGTTTTGAGTGTCAAAAATGAGAAAAAACAATTTGTACCCCATAAACCCCCCCCCCCCCCCCCCCCCGTTAAACCCCGTTCCCATGGTCCGATCATGCTGGTTCGCGAACTCATTCAAGTTTATCCCGCCTTACACCTTCAAACCAAATATCATCAAAATTGGAAAAAATTAATCAAGTTATTGTCCGGACGGGCACAAACATATATATATATATGTATATACATATATAAAAATTTGAACGAATGGTGTTTTTGGCCTCTGGGGACATCAAAGTGAAAAAGTAAATCTTACCATGAGACCTACGGTAATAGCTACTTCCCTATAGGGAAATTCGCTAAAACTGAACTAAATTTGACCTATTCTAAAAATAGATAAAAAAAAAAAAATTGGAAGTTATAACGAAAAAAAAAATATGTAAAGCTTAATTTGATATCAATGCTCCAAACTTACACCACCTGGTTAATGATATCTGTTTGACTCAAGGTCAATGATTACAGCAGTGCTAATGCTACCACCACAGCTAACAATGATATATAAGTATCTTGGCTACAAAATATTTATCTAAATTATGCTAGGGCATTCTTTGAATAACCTAAAAGCAGTAAAGACATCCGTTTCATCTAGGGATTTAAACTCAGAGTTAATTACAATTTTAATTAATGTAAAATTATTACAGCCTTATAATCTCAATACGTAAAATAATTATAAACTCAAATATTGCTAAAATATGCGATTTGTTTTTAAAAGCAGGCCGATTAACATTGAAAAGCACTTTTTCTTCAACCTCTAAGGCCAAAGGGGTTCACCTACTTATCACTGGAGTTTTACATTCCTAAACAACTTACATTCCTTAATCCTAAAAGGTGGAAGGGTAACGATGATGATGATGATGATGTCCCTGACTGAGGGAGATAATTAACAATAGTGCAGCAATCACGGATTATAGTCATCATGACAACAGTGGGATAGAGATTAAACATTGATTTTGTTTGCTATTACTGCAATTAGCAAGTAATTTTACTCAAGATTTTCAAAACAAACTTAAGTTGTCCTTATTGGATCGGAGTAGCACATTCTCGTCCGTGCTGAACTATCACCTCGCTTTTTTAACTTACTCCTGGAAGTTTAGACTGTGCTGAACTAAATGTACAATACCGGTACTATCCATCCTTAACACTAACAAACAAAAAATTATCTCACGACTCCTGAAAAAGATACTGGTTCCCCCTGTCAAATTTTCTACGGACGCTCTTGATTTCTATATAGTACTCTTTGTTGAACGCAAAATTACTAAATAAAGGTAAATAAAGGTAGTAAGCCAAGCAAACTATTTTAGAAATAAGATAAAAACAAAACATGGTGTAATATATTCTCTAATGGTTGTACCAATGTAAGCATGTTTGTGTAGGTGTTGTACATTTAACTGACATGTGACTTGTTTCTAGTTGAAGATTTGGCACCAGTTTTACCAGAAGATCAGGACTCCTTCTATTTTCTGGACTTTGAGAGCAAGCCAGATGATAACATAAACCCTGTTGTCTTTTCAACTTTCAAGCCTGATAATGATAATGACAAAGACAACGAATTGACTCTTTACGTTCTTTGTCGAATCACTGATGATGTCATGTCAATGGACATTATGACAGCTGATTCAAAGGAGGAGAACAGAGTGATTCTAGATACAATTTTCACTGTCCAATCTTGCTCAAAAGTCGAAGACATCACAAACTCAATTTATCCGCAGCAACCTTACGTTGGAAAGGAGTTTTCCATTCTTTATGTACAAACAAATGGTAAATGTCGGAGAAGGAGGTACTTGTATAAAACGTGGGAATTCACTGCCACAGTGCTACGGTCTCAAGTTGACAATGTAGATTGCCCAGAGTCTAAGGTTTGTATTACTTTCTCCCCCTATACCATAGTATATGGAGAAAGTATTGTTTTCGTCAAAATTTTCGAGTTTGAGTTTTGAGTGGATATATAATGGGGTATTTTGGGGGCAGCCCCAAATTTTCAAAAGTAAACACATATCATGTGACCCCTCATTTTAAAGGGTTTACCAAGACAAATTGAATGGCGCAAACCAGAGGTCAATATCAATCCTAATCAAAATGGCAGCAATATTAATTATTTAAGATGCGCGAGCAAGATAAAGTCTGGACACCCCCACTTAACTTTAAAAATTTAATATTTTAATACTGACCAAAAGGTGAATTCTCTTTTTTATAAAGGTATGTTGAGTTTAGTTTGCCTGCTATAGCCTGTTAAAAAGTTAATAGGGGATATTTCAAAATAACTGCCATTTGATATTGACCTCTAGTTTGCGCCATTTAATTTGTCTGGGGAAACCCTTTAAATGAGGGGTCACATGATAGGTGTTTACATTTGAATTTGGGGCTGCCCCCAAAATACCCCATTTTGGGGGCCGGGTACAAGTTCTAACTTTAATGAAAAAGTGCATTTTTTATGCTGTTAATATGTGCCGAGTTTAGTTTTCCTACTGCAATGCGTTCAAAAGTTAACTGGGGGGTTCCAGACTTTTGCCTAACCCTGTATATAGATTTATTCATTGTTTGTTATTCTTTCAATTTATTACATTATTGAAATCAGATGTGATTGTTTGTTTGTATTACTGTATTCTGTTTTGGTTATTTCAGCTTAACTTAACCAATCAATAGTTTTATTAAAACGTGCATATAATAGTCAATGTTAATACTTATGAAGTCAAACGGGGTGAAGCCGGTGGGTAACAACTATGGTAACAGCTAGTTTATTATTATGTCTATTTATCATTCAGGTTATTATTAAAAAACATCCTCTAGCATCATTCAGTGTCTGCTGATACTTCTGACTAAATGCAAACACCATAAATAGCCAGAAATATCTATTTAAATTCATGACAATGTTATTCAAATTAGTTTTTAAATTCAATTTAAAACTAGTTTGAACTAATGAGGAAATAGAACTATTTTTACTAGTCTCATTTCAACAAAAGTTTATTCCCCTTCAGGTAAAAATGATAGTACACATTTGATCTGTAACCATTTTCATTATTCTATAAAAACTTTTAAGAAATGTCAACAACTTTAAACATTTGGATGATAATGGTAGAAATGTTAAACAAGTTTCAAATGAGATGTTTACAACCTAACACTCTAATATGAAACCTGTTCCAAGCTTACAAGAATAATATAATGATCTAAAATGGTTGTACAAATTGTATAATAATACATATTTATTCCATTATTTTGGTTCCTGGCTGTATATTTCAATATTAAATTTCTACTTAACTTATTTTAAGACATCACAAATTGTCAACATAATTGGTTTCATTCCAATTTCAGGGAACAGACACTAGGAAAGGAATTGGTAAGTTAATGTACTGATTCCAAACTCCTCATTATTTAGTTAAAAATGAAAAACAAATGTCATAAAAGTAGTGAACTGTATTGGTTGGATTCCGGTTAAAATAAAAAATGTGGATTAAATAATGTTTTGAACTTTAATTTTAGCGAATTTCCCTAAAGGGAAGTAGCTATTACCGTAGGTGGCACTGTAAGAACTGGACTCGGGACCGATATACTTTTTCATTTTGATGTCTCGTCCCTAGAGGCCAAAAACACCTTCGATCAAATTTTCATGTATGTATATACAGGGTGTTTCATGGGAACACTGACAAACTTCGGGAAACGGTTCCTGGGGTCAAAACCAGAAGAAAATGTGCTAAAAGCACATGTCCTAAACTCACTCGTTCTCTACTTATACGTAAAATGTGTTCGTTTAGCTTTTCAGTGTACTATATCTGTTGTTCTGTTGAACATTTTGACCTCTAGATTGAAAAATTGACAAGATATTTTGATAAAACTTGCAATGATAGATAGAATATTACATTTCAAAGAGATTCTATTACTATTTTGGGCAAACATTTTTGGTATTACCTTTGACTATTAATACAACAACTAAATTACTGATTTCTCCCAATTAGACAATGGCTTTTACCAAGTCAAACTGATGGAATGACTTATTATGTGCTATAGCAACTGTTGTGACCCAGCAACTATGTCAGTAACAAAAAATAAGGTACAAAATAGAGTTTTAGACACTAGCGCAATCTGTGACTGGCTCACACAACTACATTCTTTTTTAGTATAAAATTGGCGACAGCTGATCCATAAAGATGGGATGTCTTCTTCTGTATCCAATAGTCAATGGTATTACTGAGAAAAATTAGTTTACGAATAAAATATTTCCGAAAAAAATCTAGTTGGTACCAAAAAGTATTTTTCGTTTTTGACAGCTCTTCATATTGTAACCATTCAAGATTTTGGCTTGCAGCTTTAAAAGTTGTAGAATTTAGCGGAGAACAAGAAAATATGAACTTATGTAAAGGCTACCTTTTATGGGTATTATTTTGTCAAAATCTAAAATAGGCTATTTTATCAAAAAATTAATTAAATTTTAATAAAAAACACACCTTAATATTTTCCCTGTATCAGCTAACCTAGGTACTCGTTAAACATAAATGTTAATTTAATAGATTAATTGAAAATCAATCCAGGCGAATGGAAATTCGCTTAGTCAGCAGGTTTGCTGCAGGTGGGGTATTTATTTATAAGTGTAGAAAACAAGCATAGGGCATACTATAAAATACATATCTACAGCATACTATTGTGTAATGTTTCATATGTTAACCTTATGGGAAAAAATAAAATACTATAGCTCGCATATTTCTGGACATATCTTATTAAAAGTTGGTAGGCTATATGACTTCTTTTAGTTGAGTACTACAGGAACATGGCCTAAAATATCCGCTATATCAGAAATATCCTATGTTCACTATCACTATCTATCACTATCCTATCACTATCACTATCCTATGTTCAGAAGTATGCGAGATATCGTATTTTATTTTTCCCTATAAGGTTAACATGTGAAATTATGAATGAATGAATGAAAATACTTCTTTATTGAGGCGAACTTAGGACCTTTCACGGTTAACCTCTGTAGCGAAAGTAGGTACTGGTATGTCTTGTTTTCTACACTTAAAAATGGAAAAGAAGGAAATTTTAGGTCATTATGCAATACTTCTCAACTAGAAGACCCATATATAAACTTTTATTAGGATGTGTTTAGAAATGAGCTAAAAAAAAAAACTAAAAATACTTTTTGGTTTTAGATTTTTTCGGAGATATTTTATTTTTAAACTAATTTTTCTCAGTAATAGCAAAAATGTTTGCCCAAAATAGTAATGGAATCTCTTTGAAATGTAATATTCAATCTAACAATGCAAGTTTTATCAAGATATCTTTTCAATTTTTAAATCTAGAGGTCAAAATGATCAACAGATACACCGAAAAGCTAAAAAAAAACACATTTTTACGTATAAGTAGGGACCGAGTGAGTTTAGGACATACGACATTATCTTCTAGTTTTGACCCCAGGAACCATTTCCTGAAATTTGTCAGGGTTCCAGTGAAACACCCTGTATAAATACGTCCGAGAACGCGATAACAATTATTGTTGTTCCATTTTGATGAAATTTGGCTTGAAGTTGTAAGGTGGGATAAACTTGAATGAGTTCGCAAACCAGTATGATCGGACCATGGGAACAAGGCTTTATGGGGTAAAAATTGGTTCTTCTCAATTTTTACCCTCGAAACACAACATTTTCCAATTTCTCTTAAAACCATTTTAAAGAGCTTTAAAATATAAATAATTTGTATATAAAATTGTTTTTGTGCTGTTATCGGTTACAAAGAAAATTCCAAAAATTGTAAATTTAAAATTCCTATGGTTTTCTTATGGAGAATAAGTAAACTGTTGTAGTTTGCTTATTTCTGGATATACGTATATGTCGATCAAACCTGGCCAATTTATATATTTTGTACTCGGCTATTATATTTTTATAAAAACACTTTTTTACCCCCCCCCCCCCTGTAGCAGCAAACCTAGGTACTCGTTAATACTATTTAAATAGATTTAAGTGAGAGTCAAATCAGGCAAATGGAAATGCGCTTAGTCTAAAGGTTTGCTGCAATGGGGTTTTTTTAATTTACCACTGCAACTATTTAGATAACACAGTAGGTCAAATTTATAAGTTTTACACTAGTGATTTAAAAATATTAATTTGTAATGGTGTTTGTAGTTCAGCAGTAGACGTTAGTCTGAACCGCTTATGAAAAATATATTTGTCTTATGAATAAAAATGACTTTATTAAGCGTGTTTCTCTAGTACACTAGCTTTTCAGAAGAACTTTTCTCATTATACTAGATATCCTACTCTACTATTTGGCTGTCATACATTTTGGCAATTAAACAATTGAAAAATAAATATATCTTTTAGTTTTTCTTTCATCTTTTTCTGTCTTTTCATATTTGTGTTAAATACGCACATCGGTGGTGTTCCCATCTCAATGATTGATAATGACAGTCTGTCTCTCATTGATGCTTGTTTGAAGATTCTAAAAGATATGTACACAAGTACACTATTTTAAGTTGCAAACTATTCCGCTATTTGGCGGAATAAAGAGGAAGATTATGTTAAAGTGACTTTAAAACTAGACATTTATTCCTGTGTTTTACAATTTTGATATCCCTCTTATACTTTACACAACAAATTTGTTCTCTATTGAATGTTTTAGTAAAAGAATGGTCACCTAAGGGATTGTTCCTTCAAAAGTCCTATGGAACGAGTACTATCACAATGAAAGCAACTAAAACAATCAGGTTTGGCAAAGCACAAGGATATTCACTGGTTTGTAGAACCGATGATGTGGGAAATACTGATGAAGATGAAGAGAGGGGTGAATATACTCAAGACCAAACAGAAGGCAAACTAGTTGAAGAACAAGAAGAAGAAACAGAGGAACATGAAACTGGAAAGTTCACTGCTACTGTGGAGTGGGATGGATTTGCTTTGGACAGAGTAAAAATGAGATCTGACACTTGCTCTGTTGATAATATATCACCGGAATTTGACCAAGTGAAGAAAGAGCACGTGATAACGTTCAAAACTGTTAACAAGGGTGATGTTAAAAGAAAATATGCGTATTCTACCAAACAGGAATCATCTTATAAGATTTTCACTTTGGAGAGAAAATCGATCTAAAAGGTATAAAGACTAATGTTTGGTTTTTAACAAAATCATTGTGCTTAACTAGAAATATATTTTCATGCAGGGTTGGGAAGTTTTTATTTTATTTTGTAAAATATTCCCTTGTTTTTTCACTTTTTGTCACGTTCCCTTATAAAATACTTGCGGAATCAAAGACTTTAGAAGCTTTGTACTGACTGGGGATACAGGCTTTGGAGGTTCAAGAGTTACATTTGTAAATGTTTTGTGTATTGCATATGACATAGGTAGTACTTTGTTAGCTCTAGAAATATGGACTTAGAAGGTAAAAGACTAACTTTATGAACTAAAATTGACTGACCTCTTACTGTAATATCTTCACCAACTTTCTCTTGTTTTCTTACATTGCATGACTAGACTTACTTTCTCTTGACTCAAGTGTATTAAGTTGGTGGCACAAAATGCAGTTGTATTCGAACAATAGAACAATAATATTTGAGGCTTAAGCGTAAATTTACATTAAATAGCTTTATTAAAGATACACAGGGAGAAACCAAAGAATAAATTGTATGCTACCAAAGTTAGAATTGATTTTATAACTGTCTTATTCTCTTGCAACTTGATTCCTTAGTGGGTTCAAGTTCTTAAGCCAGAGCTTCGGCCTGATTGGTGGTTTATTAGCTAGTTACTGCTTAAAGACCCTCTCCAGAGAAGGATAAGATAAGGCTAAGGTAAGACATTAAAGGTAGGCTAAGCTAGACAACCTACAGATTGCTGACTTTAATCCAGCTCAATACAGTACAATGAAGCTACTCCAAGATGGGGTATTGGAGTAAAGTGACAAAATCGTTATTAAACCGTAACTAAACAAGTTGTAAACGGATTGGTTAATAAAAATTTAGGTATCGGTAACTCACAGTTTGCATATTAAAATTTAGAGTAGATCTTGTCTTACATACAGAAAAACGAGAAAGTGTATAATTGTTTTGAGCAGTTAGCCATTACAGAATGTAAAGGGACGTTTGTGTAGCTTTGACTTGATGCATTATCTATTATCGCATTTGTTATTGCGATTAAGGGGGGGGGGGCGAGGAGGATTAATAAATAAGAATTACCATGGAGCCACCAGCAGAAGTGCTGTTTTTTAAATGCAGTTCAATTGTATGGATACTTTTAAACTCTTTTTGGAACACATTGACTTCGTAAATAAAAAAAATATACAACATTTTAATACACACGAACATTACATTTTATTAACTTAAAATGCGTGGCCAACTATGACACGACTAATCTACACACTACCCGATTCCTGTCTGGTGACATTGACCTTGGAGGGTGTGAAACAACTGATTATGAGCGCATCTTCTTCTTCTTCGTCAGGTTCCAATCCAGTGAGTTTTAGGACTTCGTCCTCTTCAGCCGGGGAAAGAGCGCATCCGTTATCAAAGTCCTTATTCCTATTTATTAAATATATCCAGAAATAATTCCTACTGCGATATAAGTTTTTTAGGGGGGGGGGGCGTAATGTGGGGTTTCCCGGCCATGTTTACTAGTATTATCTTTGACTATTAGCCTAATACACTCTCTTGCTACTAATCAACACTCCATCGATGCATATAACCTAAACCTGTGTTAGGTTCGATGGTCAACTCCATAAAAAATATTCTCTACAATGGTTTGTTGACATGTATTTGATCCATTGAATGCGCATACTTCCATTGCAGTACCTCCAATACTTTCATATTGGATATGCCCTCGTTACAGGTCCAAAATAGATGAAATCACGGATAAACACAATCAGGATAACATTTATTAAATCCAAGAGAGTAAATTTCACTTGTAAACACTGCTAACCTAACTTGTTGTTTGTGTAACTATTACAATAATTATCATTTTGATGTAATTTTGCACACCACACAAACCTAGCTTAACTAACTTTTAGTTAAAATTTAGTTTAATTACATCAAAGTATTGCTAGTACTTCACTACAATACTCACAATGCAACAATAGTATTCGCAACGTAAGTAACTGATTAAAAATATGCATACACTATACATTGAATATATAATACAGCTTAGGCCGGTTAATTATTTCGGTTATTGCATAATATCGATAGTATATTTTGTTCTGATGAGTTAGCTGTTAGCCACATATTTTCATGTTATATAGATTGGTACAGTATATTACAACAATTACTTGTAACTTGTAAACAGTATATTGTAGTGTATTCAAATGTTGGCTAGTAAACTAAACCAAAAACCTTATTCTTGAACAGCTGATTAGCGAGTCATTTACTCGCAGTTTCTTCTTGGTTCATTTTAGCGAATTTCCCTATAGGGAAGTAGCTATTACCGTAGGTGGCACGGTAAGACCTAGACCCGGGACTGATTTACTTTTCATTTTGATGTCCCCAGAGGCCAAAAACACCATTCGTTCAAATTTTTATATATGTATATATATATATATATAGACTTATATATATATATATATTTAAATATATATATATATATATATACGTCCGTGAACGCGATAGCTTGAGTAATTTTTGTCCGATTTTGATGAAATTTGGTTTAAAGGTGTAAAGCGGGATAAACTTGAATGAGTTCGCGAACCAGCACGATCGGACCATGGGAACGGGGCTTTACGGGGGGTTTTATGGGGTAAAAATTGGGTTTTCTCACTTTTGACCCTCAAAACACAAAATTTCCCGATTTATCTTTAGACCTTTTTAAAGAGCTTAAAAAAACAAATAATTTAGTGTATAAAAGTATTTTTGTTCGATTATTAGTAACGGAGAAAATTAAAAAAATTGTAAATTTAAAATTCCCATGTTATTCTTATGGAGAATATTGTGAAATGTTGTAGTTTGCTTGTTTATGGATATATTTTGATCAAACTTGGCAAATTTATTTATTTTGTACTAAGCTATCAATATTTTACTCAAAAACACACTTTATCAGTTTCCTTGTAGCAGCAAACCTAGGTACTCGTTAAACCTAATGTTATTAAAATATATTTAACTGAAAATCAATTCAGACAAATGGAAATTCGCTTAGTCGGCAGGTTTGCTGCGGCGGGGGTATTTTAGCGAATTTCCCTATAGGGAAGTAGCTATTACCGTAGGTGGCACGGTAAGACCTAGACCCGGGACTGATTTACTTTTCATTTTGATGTCCCCAGAGGCCAAAAACACCATTCTTTCAAATTTTTATATATGTATATATATATATATATATATATATATATATATATAGATTTATATATATATATATATACGTCCGTGAACGCGATAACTTGAGTAATTTTTGTCCGATTTTGATGAAATTTGGTTTAAAGGTGTAAAGCGGGATAAACTTGAATGAGTTCGCGAACCAGCACGATCGGACCATGGGAACGGGGCTTTACGGGGGGTTTTATGGGGTAAAAATTGGTTTTTCTCACTTTTGACCCTCAAAACACAAAATTTCCCGATTTCTCTTTAGACCTTTTTAAAGAGCTTAAAAAAACAAATAATTTAGTGTATAAAAGTATTTTTGTTCGATTATTAGTAACGGAGAAAATTAAAAAAAATGTAAATTTAAAATTCCCATATTATTCTTATGGAGAATATTGTGAAATGTTGTAGTTTGCTTGTTTATGGATATATTTTGATCAAACTTGGCAAATTTATTTATTTTGTACTAAGCTATCAATATTTTACTCAAAAACACACTTTATCAGTTTCCTTGTAGCAGCAAACCTAGGTACTCGTTAAACCTAATGTTATTAAAATATATTTAACTGAAAATCAATTCAGACAAATGGAAATTCGCTTAGTCGGCAGGTTTGCTGCGGCGGGGGTATTTGTCTTCTGATGTCGTTCAACGGTATGCTGTGTTTTCATGTTAGGCTACTACGCGTAGTAAGTTCATGTAGTAATTGTTGGTTTAATCGTGTAGTGTTTGTGAGTGTGTTTTGGTAGGTATTTCCTTAATAGTGTTAAAGTTAGTGTCAAGTGACCTATTCAGTGATTAAATTTAGGCTGGGTTTCCTGTTATGACATGATTGCTCTGTCGATTCACTGCCGTATTCTGGTTAGTATTTTCATTTATTTACCTTTATTCACCAAGCTTTATTTTTGCTAAATAAAACAAAACAAATATTGATAATGCAACATTGTATATACGTTATACGTTGTACGTTATATATTTCAGTAATATCCTAGGTTAGCTAGATTATGATTACCAAATAAAGGTTCCTTAACTCATATAGCGCAGTTTTGTCACAGAAAGTAATTAATAGCTCTTTAAAATTTGTGTAGTTTCTTTAATAAAAAACAAACACTGTTTTAAACGTTAATACGAGTACCTCGAAACCTAAAACATTTATTTGTGAAACATTTACTTCTACCTTATTTACCCCCTATCGGTTAAAAATTGATTTGGACTTCATAGTCTTAAGAAAGATAATATAATAATTGTTGTACTAGGCCTAGTTGTGTTAAAATTACAAATTGTTTGTCATAAAATGGTTCCCTATTTAAAAAAACTGTGACATGAGATTATTAAAACTAATAATTAAATAATAATTGAGGGGAATAATATTTAAATTGCGATTAAGCCTTGAAGTAACGCATTTTGAACGTAGGAATTTTAGAATTTTGAATTTAATATAGGCTAGTCCAAATACACAGTTATAGGAAGTTAATAAATTTACCTATCAAGAAATATTCTCAAGAGCTTTGTTTTTAAAATCGTGATTTAGTCTTAAAAGTCTTAGGGTTTATGATCATATTCTTATGAAAACATAAATTTAATAATAATCATATACTATCGAATCTTTTGCGTATGCTATATTCAGTATTTTTTATACTCTAACATAAATTTGATCTTTGTTTTATAATCATGTTTTTGATGATGAGCTACAATATGTTACTATTGTGGACCATTTCTCTTATGAATGGCAGAGAAGAAAGATTAAAAGATTTTATAGCTTATATTATAAGCTATATAATAAGCTTATAATAAGCACAGGCATAATAAAAGAAAAATTTCGTTCGCAGGTTACAGTGGTTGCAGTCGTACCAAAGGTAAAACCTCATATGAGTGTGTATGCCTTTAGAATTTGGAATTCTC